TTTTTTTTTTTTTTTTTTGGTTTCCTCTTAGTAATTTTTTATTACCATCCATTGTAAGACTTTTTATTTTTATTTTAGGTAACATGAAATCAATAATTGATGTAAATGAAATGATTAACTTTTAAAATATTTTTCAATTAATTACTTTATTTCTGCCTAATCTATTCTTTTATGTGATATAATATCAATAATTTGAATTAAAGTTAGCAAAAAGTTACAATCATTTATTCCATTTCTCCTTGATCTAAAATTTTATTTGATTTGTAAAATATAAATTAACGGATATGGTTATATGTTAATAATTGAAATGATAATTAGAAGTGTATATGTATGTGTGTGTGTGTGTGTATATATATATATATATATGAAATTAAAATATTTCCTAAAACATTTAGATTAAGAAATTTTCAAACTTTGATTTATTTCCCTTTTAGTTTTCATATCGTTGATTTTTTTTCTTATTAAGTATCAATACCATCGATTTATTAAAAACGTGAAAACCTTTTTGTATATTATTCATTTTGTATTTATAATATATATTGAATTAACCATTTTTTTACAAGCTTTGACTCGACACTCATATTGTATGCATAAATAAAAAAAAGTATATTTTTTAAAGTATTATCAAGTTTATTATTTAATTGCACATATAGAATGAAATAAAATTTACTATTTAACAATTATTTAAAGTAAGAATTAGTCTCAAGTTTGCTAGGGGCCTGACCGGGAGTCGGAGTTGCTGCTTTTTCAGTTTGCCTTCTTCGGGGGAGGGTCGTTAGTAGTTTAGTTTGTTTAGTGTCCTTGAGTCTGTTTAGTTTAGTTTTTTTGGTCTGGGCTCTTTGCCTGAGTCTGTCTGTGCTTTTTGGTCTTGTTTTTTAGGTTTGGGCCGCTGGCCCCGGTACTGGTTTTGATTCCCCTGTGGGGGGCGTTTCTATTCTCTTGTGGGGAGCGATCTTAGTTGGTGTTTTTGTGTCTGTTAGTTGTGTGTCTGTTTTTCTATTCTAGCGTTGCTAGCGAGGTTCTAGGCGGACTTTTGTTCCGTTCTCTCAGTTCCTAGTTCTGGGTTGTAATATTCAGCCTTGGGCTGCTTTTGCACAGTTGTGCGTTTTGATTTATAATATCTCTATCGTTTTGGCAAAAAAAAAAAGAATTAGTCTCAAGTTACTCAAACAATAAAAAATAAATGTAAATATAATAAAATGTATTAATAAGTAATTATCTCTTGTGGATTTAAGAATTTAGTGATAAAAAATTAGAAATATTAGTAAATATTAATTTCGCTAATCAAGTATAATCGATATTAAAATGCCAAACTAACAGCTCATTTGTCGAACCGCCAAGTAAATTATCAGACATAAGTAAATCCTTCTGATCTTAGGATTCCATTTAAGTTCCAGGGTAGAACTTATGGTTTCGTATGTCTCGACCATAAACAAAAGTTAGTGACTGCCTGCCTTTATCGCACGTTGACATTCTCATAAAGTAATCGGTTTTTAGTCACGACCAATTATATGTTGTTGTTTTGCGTGTAAGTACTACAAAGTGGTTGGAAATATTATTTTGTAGGGGCGACGAGTTGTCAAGTATCAAACTAATAATGTTGTATACAAATTTTTTTAGTAATATATAAATTTTTTCATTATGAACATTTTATGATTTGATAAATTCTCTAATATTATAAATCTTTTATAATATTCTCCAAAATAAATACCGTCACGAGTTACATACTAGTTTATTAAAAGTATTAACACCTAAACTAAAATGGGAGATTCTAATATCAGATTTGACTCCTACCAGCCTCGTACCTACCTAACATTAGGTTCTCCGTTAAAATCATGCCATGTGTCCCAAAATTTAACTAATTAATAAAATAACTAAAAAACAAGCTTGGATAAATACTAAAGTACCCTTACTTAAAAAAAATTATAAACTAGGGTGATTAACTATTATGATATTATTATTAGACCCTAATGACATGTACATATTCCAATTAGGCAACGAATTGAAATTAAATTGCATTCTATCTTCAACACAATCCATCATCTTCATCTTCAACACAATTAGGCGTGACGCATAAAAAAAAAAAAAAAAAAAGATCTTTCTTCCCCGTCGAAGTGAAAAGCTTGCTTTGAATGATTCTGTATTCAATCATTAATCGGCATCGTGAAAACAGAATTTATGATGAAGTAGATGAGTCGATCTTTAAATAAAGTCCGGGTAAATGTTATTTGGTTTACTTATGCTTCATATTCTGAATTCTGAAATCAAATTGTCAATCAATTCTGAAATCATATTCTGAAATCATATTAATAACGATTTTATGATATATTAAATATCCCTTTCCAAAACGATCGGTGATATTTATTTAAGGCTGATAAAAATCGATAAATTGAGGTAAATATTTTGAATGTCAATCGCATTCTGTATTGCACGTATTTATCTGATATGTTCATTAGCAATATTACTAATTAATAATGTGTTCGAAATTTGATGTGCTGCTATTCCTTCATCTGGCTATGCAAATTATGTTGGCTAGCAATGAAATATTTTATGTGAGTGTGCGGTTGATTTAAGTGATTACATTGTTGTATTTGTTCTTTTATTTAATAGGCACTGTACATGCTCGAAGAAATGTATGAATGAGGATGATGACCCTGTTTTTATATCTTGTTGTGTTGGTGTTGTGCAATGATTTGAGATCTTTGTTGAAGTCATGACGAGTGCCAGTATTTGCCCGTTGAAGATCAATGACGCATGCAACCATACATATAAATACGAATGCTTATTTGAAACAATGCAATTGTTTTGCTGTAGTTTGCTTAAATATTCGATAAAAAGATTGGCGCTTGTATTGCTGAGCATTTGTACAATTCAATTGCTCTGAAAATGTGTTATGTTACTGTTTGCAACGAGTAATAAATGTATATTTCATCAATTTTGAAAGTGTTTGTACCGTGGTTTATCAATGTCAGTGCCCATTTTGTTTCTCTTGATAATATTGTTGTGGAATGTA